CTGGCTCCCAGCCTGCTCACAACCAGTGCCCTCCAGAAGTACAGCCAGGGGGCAGTGCATATCCCCAAAACCCTGCTCACTGGCAGGGAAGAAGCTGGTGCTGAGTGTGGGGAAAAGTGGCCCCTCACCTGCCCCATAGCCAGTGCCCTGCGTTACAGGTGCCTGCAGCCCGCGCGAGGCGGTCCAGCACAGGCAGCCCCAGGCAGTGCTAAGTGTGGGGCGTGGGGAGGGGAAAATAGCTTAGGAGTCTGAGAGCTTGAGCTTCATAACTGGTGATTACCGTAGGAATTAACGTAGAAGCACGTAGTCTCATACGTGGTGGGACCTGCAGTCAAACCCATCATACAGCATCAAATGGAAAGGGTATGACAGGGTTTCTTTGACACAAGCAAAACTCCTATTGTGCATGTGCAGCAAAGGTCTTTCTTTTTAGCAGACAGTTTCTACAGTGGTGGGAAGTCTTTCGCAAGTTGCATCTTAGAGTTCCATTTTGTCTTCTGTATCTTTCACAGGCTAGTAAAACTGCTGTTCTTGTCATTCATAGCATTCACAGTCTTCTGCACCTTCCGCCATTCAAAACATTGGTGATTATCTTGATGTCCTAGGCAAAACAGATTACAGTTGTGGGCAATGTATATAGAGCTCATCATGCTGCTGAAATATTAGTGAATTGAATGACATCTTTTTAGCTTAAAGCTCCCTGTGTGTAACTTTCAGTGGAAAAGCAATTCTTCATTCTTAGGACCATTGCTTTTGCGGGATGGGTGCTGGGTTTTCTCTCGGGACATCACTTTTCATCAATGCGTTTTGGTTCCTGCATGTAACTTTTCTGGGACTAGGTTGGAAGGTACTAGAGAAGTGGAAGATTTTTATTTTCATATTATTTGAAGGTCACTCCCTAATTTCCTGCCAAAAGAAATCTTCCAGAAAGAGTGGCTGAAAAACTGTATCAGATCTCAGTTCATAAGCTGCCAGCAAATTCTGCACCACTCTGGCATCAGCCCATCCATCCCTGGCATTCTGTTTTTCTCAAGACACCCCAGACCATTGGTTTCTAAACATAAAGAAATCAAGTCTGTTTCAGTTGCACTGTCTCTTGCCAAGTCAAAAAACCACAGTGACTTTGGATGGCAGGTAAGGGTCATTTGTGTAACTATACTAGTGAGTTTAAGATTGTACCCGTACCATTTTGAAATAGGTGCTAGTGATTGAATTTGATTTGGGAACTTCTAATCTGCAGTTACTGTCAAAAATATAATGGTGAAATTAGTCTCCCCCTATTTTCTTCCTGGGTATCTTGTCCCTGCAGAGCCATTGCTGCTTAAACAGACTATTTTGAAAGTTTCTCCCCACTTTTGCCCTTACATTTTTCCTCTCCTTCCCACAGGAAATTTTTGAAACACCAGCTGAGAGGAAAGAACTGTGAACTTCTCCTGGTGGTACCAGAGGAGGTGGAAGCACATCAGAGCTGGAGAGCTGACATGTGACTTTGATCTGCCCTCTCCCATTACAGCTCCAGTCCCTTCCCTCACTGCCCTGAGGTCCTGTAATCTGGATAATAGGTGCCCCAGTTCTCCTCTGGAACTTCCTTTTGTTGGGCTTTTTCTCTTTCTCTTTTGGTGCAATAGGGCAGTGACATAAGGGGTGGGGGCAGAGTGGAGCGGGTTGGAAGCTAGTCACTTCTTAATGGAGAAGTGAGGAAAGCAAGTTCTGTGCTTTCCAGCTAATTGGTATGCATAATGCTTCATAAAACAGGCTTTGGGGCTAAGGTGTTGTGGACCCCCCACTGTTCTATTTTACCCCCCAGCCCACCTTAAAGACTGCATATGCTTGGACACTACTCCCTTCAGAACTTACCAAAGCTGCTCTGGCTGGAAGGTGGCTTCAGGGGGAGAAGAGGCCAAGCACTCTGCCTCCACTCTGCAACAATATCTCTCTCCATAAGTTTTGTAGACATTTGGAATTACATATAAGGGTCTCTCAGGAAACTCTCCAACACTAGCAGTGATACAGTGCTCTGGAGAATCCCCTGCTGCTTAGCAGTACTTGTGCCAACTCAGCTACAGAAAGTGGTGGGGGCTATCTTTATGGAAACTTGTTGGTTAGGTAGGGGATTTTTCTCTAATGTCACTTAGGATGTTTCACATGGCCTGGTGATTGTTTGGTGGTGTGAAGCTGGCTGGGTCAGGGAGGGAAGCACTAGCAAGACTAGGCTGGTTTGGAAAATTCAAGTGTCTAGAGAGAAGAGTCAAGAGTTTTCTGAGGAGTGTGCGGGGTTTCCTTTGCTGCAGCATGTAATGCTATTTCAGCTGTTCCTGCACGTTCACTTGGTAGTGCAGAAGCTTCTTACAAGGGTGAGGAAGAGGGGAATAAAACTGAGGGTGTTTAAAAGGGAGTCATTCCCTTTTATTTCCCTCTGACTGGCTTGCTAAGGCAAAAAAAGGTGTGAAGTAAACCTGCCTATGAATAAACTAAGTAGATCTAAAGACATTGAAAAGGGGCTTTGCAAGTTAAGATCTCTGCTTTTTGTAGTCACAAGCAGCCACTGGGGGAGATGTGTACAGGGTCCATGTGAATGTCCTTTGATGATAATTGAACCAAATTCTTCCTTCAGTGTTGACTGACATTCCCCTCTTGATGAACCACCTTGCCCATCACTCCCTCATGAAGGGAGGAGGAACTAAGACAGGGAGACTCCAATGGGAATCTTCTCATTTTTTTTTCCTGTCACCTCAGCTAGGTGCTGGGTATAGTTCAATCATCATTCCTTCTACAGCAGAATAAGGAAACAGTGAGTTGAGGATGGATTTCAAGCTAATTAGCTCTTTGTGGCTGGGATGCTGTTTATCACATTTCCTGATCCATATGCTATCCACTCAGGCAGCAAATATACAATAGCGCTGGAACCAAGGTGTCTGCCACTCCAGGTTGTGAGAAGGCTGGAGTCTTTGAAAAAAGGGCTGAGCACCACAACCATCTCCTCTTACTTTAAGTGTTTGTTTTCCCTGTACATGCCCTTGAACAGGGTGCTGTAAATGTGAACAAGATACATCCTGGATAAGCCAGTGTGAAGCTGAACTCAAACCACCAAAGCCAGCCCTTTGTAAATTAAAGCAGTAGCCATGAGACAACAGGACAAGAGTGATGTTTTAACAACCTTTGGACATCCCACAGGCACCATGCTGCAGTCTTCTGAAGACACATGGGCAGTGGCTTCTTTTTACATTCAGCATTTCTATACAAGTCCAACTCCTTGACACATTCCAATGACCAAAACCAGCTGGCAGAATTTTGAAACACTTCATAAGCAGAGCACCAGGCCTGCAGGAATTCTGCTTATGACTTGAAGCCATTTTCCAAGAAGGAAGAGGGAAAAATTCTCCACAGCAAAGGAATTTCCTATGCTGACTAAAATCGCACTTTGAAGAGACCCTTTATTGCATGGAAGCCGCAAGCCAATGGATCAGTGCACAATATGCAAAGACGTTTTAAAAACACTTTGGGGCTACCTCCCTCTCTTTATGTCTAAAGACCACTGTTTCACCCTTGGGGAAATCATGTGATCCAGCTGCTCAGGAAAAGGGAAACTGTATGATCTCATCCCTGAGGAACAGGGCCTTGGTGACAGAGAGGGAGGGGAAGCAGCCCACTCCCACTGCTTGATAGTGGGGAAGCCCACTTTTGTTTTCTTGCTTGTTTGGTTTTGTTAGAGCCTTGTCTTGAGTTTGTTTACAAAGATGTATTTTGTTTAACCAAATATTGAAAATGGAAAATTCTCCATATACATGTCTCATCACTTCTGTGTGTTCAGCTGAATTGTTCTGTATCAAAGTATGTAAAGGAAAAATAAATTTTTTCTCTTTGGTATGAAGTTGTGTTTTTGAAGAAAATTACCTGGAACAGAACTGCTCTGTTATCCCTGGACACCATTCAGTCACCTCAAGTACCTCACCTGTCAAAACTTATCTTCATATAGGAACTGTACCAAGACCGCATACATCAAGCAGGAGGTTAACTCCAGCAACTAGAGGACACAAAAAGAATTTGCCTCCCATAAGGGGGATTACAAAAACCACAGTGTTTAGGCTGAATTTTATTTAATATTCAATACAAAAAAATTATGCAGCTGACTTCTGAAGTGTAGCTTTATGATGCAAAATAGAATCAGCACAGATGCAATCCTCAACTGAGTCTGCTACCCTACTTCTTCCCCAAACTAAAAAACCACAGTGAAAATGTTTGCAAGCAAGTCTTACATAACTCTCTCCATAGGGCACAGATGTTTATGCCACCCTTCCTCATCTACTCCACCACTGAGAAATTCACTCTTGCTTCTTTTTCTCATAGATCTCTCCTAACCTTGCTTTAGCCAGGAGAAAGATACAGGATTTTCTTTTGATTGCAGAAGACACTGGATAAAAGTGACCAGAGCCCGATTTGTGCCCCAGGGTGGTTTCCCTAGAAGCAAGGAGTCCAGAAGAGGAGCTCCTCCATTAAAGTCTTTGTAAAAGGTCATGCTATACAGATTAGAGGAAAGAGTCATGATTTCTGCAGGGGAAGGTATGGACAGATGCATCAAAAAAAGGTCCAGAGAAGGGTTTTTACCCCAGTGTGGGGAGGTCAGTGTCCCCCTCCCCCCAAAAAAGTGCCCTGGCTGGACAACTCAACAGTTCAAATGTAATTTCAAGGTCTTCCAATATGATATGGATCCAGTGCAGCTCCTGAAAGTTAAATCTTTCCAGAAAGTGGAGGCAGAGCCCCATGCATTCCTCCAGACAGTCCTGTGTTAGGCCCTAGGAGTATCTGCAAGAAACAACAGTAAGTTAAGAAGCTATTCATATTAATAAGGCTAAAAGACTCCAGAGGCACACTATTCTGTTCTCACAGACAGATGATTAAGAATGAGGCTTACTTCACTGAGTGCTTTAGTCTAGGGGCCAGCAACTTACATCCTGCCAGCTAGATCCAGCCTGCAAAGCCCAGATACTGCTGGCATTTCAGCAGGGAGATTCTGCTGTCTTTAGTAGTGGCTGGGTTGTGTGTGCATCTGCAGTGATGCAGCACCAGCGAGAAGCAGTAGCAGCCATGGTCATGGCAGAAGCACCAGTCTGCCTTGGACTGGGCTGCATGATTTTGTCCCACAGGTTGGCCAAGTTTGCTGACCTCTGCTCTAGCATTGTCCCATTCTACAGAGGTGGGAGTGCAGTGTGCAGACACTTGCATATCATTTTTCAATACCATTTTCTTTGTTGCAGTAGCCAACTCTATTATTTATTCAAATGTGTCAAGCAGAAAGATGTCCCAATACATTTGAGATCCTTGATTAAGAATATGTCCTGGTGCCTATATCAAATACATCATGCTAATAGTGCAGAACAAACTTTTTTTGGTAATAAAAAGGTTGATTTTTGGTTCTTACAGCTACAGAGGGAATCTTCCAACTAAGCCAAGTGTAAACCAATGTCATGTCTGCCTGAGTCTGTAGCCAGCTTATAATAAGGTATTACAATGATTAACTCCTTGCCGCTAGTAATCCTACTGAAGCATCTGGTACAAAACCCACTAACAGCATGCCAGTGTCAGCATTAATTGATTGCACTAGCAAAGAAAACAAGGTGGGAGATGCACCAGAGAAGAAAATGCAGGAAATACTAAGTTTAGTTACTACAAAGGGGTTGTGCTCTCCTTTTAATCTGTGACAATTTTCCCATTGATGTCACTAGGATTTCAGGTACTGATTAAAAAATCAAGTCATCCTGAATTTATCTCCTGGCCTACAGACCATAATCAAATACAAAACCAGGCCTGTTTACTTCATAACATGTCTGGCATTCCTAGTGTAATGGCAACGGGGTACAGGGAATCCCAGGCACTGAACCAATGCACAAGATTCATGCTTCTTCCCAACTCCCATTGGCATCTGCTGCCTGCCAAGTTATTTTCTCCCATGGTCACACTGGTAGGGACTGTGGGTGTTTTTGCCCTCCTCTATAGTCGGGGGGGCGGGGGGTTGTAGACCTCTCCCCCAGAATCTTTTGAGCCTGTGTTGACATTTTATAGATGCAGAACATTGGCTGCTGTGGTTCCTCTGCTTCGCGTGTGGCAGGTGAGGATATCATGTCTGTGCTGTGTCAGAGAACCATAGAAAATGAGAGCTGGAAGGGACCTCAGGAGGACATCTAGTTCAAGTCCTTGCTCAAAGCAGAACCAGCCCCAGGTATCTCATCCCAGCCAAGATTTTGTCTACCTAGATCTTAAAAAGCCTGTTGTTACAGTGCTCTGCTCCCCTGAGAAAGTTTTTCCTAATATCTAGCCTAAATGTCTTACCTGCAACTTGACCTGGCAGTCTTAGCATATAGATTCTGGGTGGGGATGATCCTGCCTTGCTCAGGGGGCTGGATTAGACATGACCTCTGCAGGCCCCTTCCCATCCAGTTCCTTTCAGATTGCACTATACAGAGAACAGGAGCGTGCCCCAGGGTGGGGGGCTCCTGTGCACCTCACCTGTCGCTGCTGCAGCTGCTGCTGCTGCTCCATTTGCAGTTTCTCAGTCTCAAATACAACTGGGAGTACCAGGATCATGAAGGATGTGGTGCCAATCCATAGCGCTGCCCGAGAGAATCTGTGGGACATGGGCATGCACAGACGCACACAACAGTAACAATCACTGGCTTGCCTCTCTCCTGGCCCGGCAATGAGAAGGAGGGAGTTCAGGGCTGGGGGAGGAGGGGACAGGCGAGCTCCGCCCCGCCCCGCCACCGGCCGGCCCCTCACCTGTACATCTTCTCGGCCACGGAGAGGGAGAGCTGGAAGGTGGCGCCGGCCGCGGCGCGCACGCGGTCCGGGAACATCTCAGTCAAGCCCCACAGGCGCTCGCTCAGCGTCTCGTCCAGCTGCGGGTGGCGGCAGCGCCTCAGTCCCGCCCGAGCAGCCCCTTCCCCCTCCGTCTCCCCTCCCCCCGCAGCACGTGGCGGCCCCGGCCCCCGCACCTCGTCGTCGTCGTCGTCGTCCAGCTCCTCTGCCAGCTCCTCAGCCTTGCCCGCGCTGCCCTTGGGCAGCAGGTCCTCGGGGCTCAGGGATGCAGTGGCCGCCATGACGGAAAGACCAGGGGCCGAGGGCAGAGCGGGGGAAGGGCAGCGCCGGAAGCGGAAGGGCAGGCGAGGCGCGGCGAGCGGCAGAGCGGCAGCGGAAGGAGGGGGTGGGCTCCCCGCGTGAGCGCCCCCGGCGGCCTGGAGGGCGCCGCTGCCCGACGACCCCGGGCTTGTGACCTCTTCTCCAGCCTCTGCTGCCCCATCCTGTGTATATGTACACATGCATACACATTTACACGCACATGTACACATACATACATATACACGCATATATACACGTGCATACACACATTTACATACGCCTCATCACTTCTGTGTGTTCAGCTGAATTGTTCTATAATAAAGTATGCCAAGGCAAAAAATCTTCCTTTTCCCTTTGGCATGAAGTTGTAGCATTCTTGGAGGAAACTGCTTCAAATAGAATCACTGAATCATTCCTGGACACCACTCAGTTATATCAGGTGTCAGAGCTGTCCAAACCATCTCACTTAGAGGAATTGTGCTGAGACAGCACACACCAAACAGGAGGCTGGAGAGCACAATATACCACCCCCCCACCACACCCCAAACAGGAGGTTGACACCAGTAACTAGAAGACAACATGCGTGGGTGCATATGGGTAAAAGCTTCCCCACAAACTAGAGGACAATCTCACTAGCATAGCAGAAGTAGGCTTATCTCCGCTGCTGCAGCAGATGGCCAGAGCCGCAGCCTAGTCCAGGAAGTACGGAGCACTTCTCAGTGATAGGGAGGTAGATGCTGTTGTGGGGGGCAGCACACTGTAATGAGACTCAGGACAGAGTTTATGTTTGGTTTAGATAGGAATGATCCTGCCTCTGGCGAGCAGTTGGACTAGATGAACTCTGGAAGTCCTTCCTGTCCCCACTTCTGGTTGATACTCTGTGTTCCCCCAACTCTGCCCCCCAGCCTGTATCACTGCACTGAATCACTTCATGTCTCTGTGACCACTTCCCTCTCCCACCTTTGGTCCATCCCACATACTCAAATCCTCAGTGCTTCAGAGATGATTCTGATTTCTCACTGCACATCTGCACAGGATCCAGCATAAGGGGAACCTAACCTAAGCAGAGACTTTCATGCGCCACCATAATATTTAATGTACTTCTGCAGTAAGATTCCTGCCTCCATGAGAACAGAACAGAAACAGCAGCATGATTTGGTTTAGTTTGACTTTATAAAAACATACAAAACACTCAAGAGAACAAACAACACCAGGAGCCTGCCTACCAACAGCAGAAGGCAGAGCTAATGTCTTTAGAAAAATAATAAATATCTGAAATGAAAAGACAGCTTTAAAAATGCTCCCCTACTTTCTGATTTTCAAAACTGAAGTCAGGGGTGGAATCAACAAGGAGGTCATGAGACTGAAGGTAACCGTAAGGGGGCTCGAACAGAAGTTGTAGACCATGCTTGGCATGTATATGAAGAGATTTTCCTTACCATCCATTCACATACACCAAGGAAATTTTGTTTTCTCAGGCAAACCAGAGCATTGCTAATTGCCTCCACTGCCTGCACTGTGCCACAAGTGACAGGTCTTTGTACTGAGTAAAGTGGTTTGGGCAAAACTGGTTTTTGCTCATAACAGAACATGCACCAAGGCAGCTTATCAAGAGCACTGAGACAGCAGTTATACAGAAGCTCTATGGGGAAGCAGAGTAGGTGACTTCTGACAGTCTTGGAAGCCCCACTAACATTTCAAGCCTTGGAATTTGTTTGCCCATCCTGTGGAATGACACACTGCTCTGTGGTGCTAAGACAGTGAAGTCAGACCAACCATGCTTGGATCTAGCTCTGTGAGCCCTAGAGATTTCAAACCAGATTCCCTTGCTCTCCCATTCCCTAACACCCGTCTCCCTTATTGTGTTCACTTCCTCCTCCTGCTGTGATTCTTCAGTTCCTCCAGCTCCTTCTCCATCAGATGGGATTCTGCTGTGGTCTCAGAGAGCTACAACCAAACAAAAAGTGTAAGAATGGTCCCTGCTTTCCCAAGGTGTTGTGTCTTTGCATAGCTAGCATTAGAGGAAGGAAAGTACCATCTGACTTAGGGCTGTCCAACTCATTTGGCTCTGTAAGCCACATCCAGCCCACAGACCATGTATTTGATGCCCTTGATCTGACTCTTATGTATGGAGTGCCTTTCACCAAGCAGGGTAACAAAGGACTCTACAGTCACTGCAAGTAGAGATCTATCACCTACCAATGCAGAAATGTTGCCAACACTTTTGGGGTGAAACAGCAGCCATGTCTGCAACATGCTATG